GTGTGCTTCAGGCGTGACAAGACCGGCAAAACGGTCTGGTCCACTGCATCTAGGATCATAGGTTTTGAGGGTAATCAGAATGAGAACGTCTGGGTTTTATGCCAGAACGTTCCAGCTTTTGTTTCCGCGCAGAACCTGAGGCCCGCTCAGGATGCAGAGGCACTAGCTCACGCAGTGCTGCAGGGGGAGGCTATTCTACCTGAAAGCCTAATTCAAGGACAGCAGCAATTCGAGGACTTGCGTGAATGTACCCGGAGAGGACATCGTGGAAGACATGCCTGTTGAAGAGGAAGGACCATCAGATGGCCTTCTAGATGGACCGCAGCCTTTATCTTCTATCTTCGAAGGGGAAGAAGAAGGTGAAGCATCAGCAGCCAGAGGTAGGTCAAGGTCACCACCGCCTGTAACTACTCGCTCACGCAGATTTAGTGTTGCAGAGCCCGACGCTGAACAGACACCAAAGCGCCGTATCAGCAGGGCAGAGCTGTTGGATGATTTGCCTGCATCAATACGCGCACGTTTCGAGGAACGGCGTGTGGAGGAAGAAGCGAACGTGAGTATTCACAAGAAATTCAGAGGATTCTGGAGCAACCGTCTTGCGTCGCAAGAACAGGTTGAGCAGGAACTCAAAGAACTCCCTGAGTCTTTGAAGTACTGGAACTGCACCCCATCCGTACGAATTCACATCGACGGATCGCGAGCGAAGGAATGGAAGAAATATGAGGATATCCAGGCAGCGATTCCTATCAAAGGTGCCCAGTTAAAAGAATTGCTCGATGCAGGCCACGTACCCATTCCATCAAAATGGGTCGATACCATTAAAAACTACCATGAACGCCTGAAGGAAAACTACTCACCAGAGTTTAAATCAAGGCTAGTGTCGTGCGGCAACTTTGAGGATTCGACTGAAGTACGGACAGATGCTCCGACTTCTGACCTCGAAACGCATGCTCTCGTAGCAGCGTTTGCTGCATCTCATGGTGTGCCCGTAGAATCGTCCGATATTTCCAAGCCGAGCCTATCGATAGGGTGGTGCTCATATGCGCCAACCCAATGGTGGTTTGCCAGGCGTTGACCCTGAGACAATGCTTTTGATCAGAGTACCTGTGTATGGACTCTGTGATAGCGGACGCGGTTTTTGGAGAAAGGTCGATAGGGAGGCACGCGACGTCCGTTTCCAAGTGAGTCGCATATTCCCAGCATCTTACTTTTATCGCGAAGGTGGAAGCTGGACAGTGCGGAGCGAAGCGCAGCACCTTAAGCGTCTCGTGTCATAATGTACCATAAGTGTGCGAAGCATTTGTATAGTATAGTTGCAGCTTGTGGCTCCGGCTCTGCTAGTGTGCTCACAACGCACGTAGACGACTTCCTGTGGGCGTCTATTGGCAAGGGCGGTACTATTATAGATCGCTTACTCAAGAAATTTGAGGTAGGCCGCCGCGAGTCTGGTAGACTACGCTTCTGTGGCAAGCAATTCGAAAAATCTGGCAAGGATGTATTAATTGATGTCATCGATAATACTAATAAGATAACCTACATTGATATTAAATCAAATAGGAAGCACACAGATCAAGTTGATCGTGGCAAGGAGCGTCAGCTCCGTTCAGTTGTAGGCAGTCTTTCCTGGATATCTAGGCAGGCCAGGCCAGATATTCTGTATCGCGTATCGAAGCTGCAGAGCTCGATAAAAGGCGCAACAATTGCCACACTGCATGAGGCTAACAAGGTTTTAGAGTTAGCCCAGAAGGGACGTAACCTGAAGTTATAAGGTACCGTAACGGACCTTTTGACTTCGAGAAGCTAGGAGTGTTGACGGCCTCGGACGCCAGCTTCGCAGGCGAAAGCAACAACAAGTCGCAGCAAGGCCGCATCCACTTCTTTGTCCCAGAACAACAGCTACGCGACGCGAGCTGTAGCAACTACGACGTGATGGTAGTGTCACTTGCATCGACCACCATCAAGCGCGTGTGTCGAGCTACGTTGCAAGCTGAGACGTATGCTCTCCAAAGTGCGCAGGAATCCGGTGATAGGATCCGCGCTGCATTGGCTGAGGTTTATGGTTTTGGTTCACGTGGCCCCGACTGGGAGCAACTTGCGAGAACGAAGGTTCCGCACGTATGCCTGACAGACTGTCGCAGCCTAGCCGACCATCTCAATACGGAGGCCCCTGCAAGAGGTCCGGGAGCGGTAGACCGCAGACACCACATGCAATGAGGATGACAACTATGTCATACCTCCAGTGGTGCATTAGGATTTTGTACAGTGTATAGCCGTTCACAACATGAGAACAGGTTGAGTCTGAACTGCAGTTCATGTCTGCCTGTAGTGACCATGATTGTGAACGATAGTGTATATATATATATTATATATATCCGCCGCATTTAGGGCCCTTGAGCTATAGAGTAGCAACGCAGTCTTGGCGAAAAGCCCGACCAGTTTCATATATAATAAACCGAAATAACTGTACAAACAACAACCGACATTTAAAACAAACTCCAGGTTTGTACCACCCTGCGGGCTTCGTCCTCGGAAGCAATACCCCCTTTTAACAAAAATTGATCGTCGGAGCCGGCCGCGTCAGCAGGGAGCAGATGGGCAACGATGTGACCTTCGCATTGCTCGGGGCGGAAGCGTGCAGGCCGGCTCATTGGGTATGGCAGTCAACCAGCCCGGCCCTGTGGGCCAGCCTGCGACCCGAGGAGGGCGACAGGGAAGACAGCAGCGTGCGTTCGCCAAAGAAGGGGTAGCGAATACGCAATGCACAGTGCTGCCATCCACGTGGCCCGTCGCCAAAGCCGTGTTCGGTTGAACGAGGTGGTTGGGCACCCGCGCCGACTGCTTCCCAATAGGACACTCGCGCCACCCTTCCGCCTTCAAGAGTTCGCGTGCCTCGGTTGTGCTCTTGAGGCTTGGGGTGTGGCCTCCGTTCGTGGCTAGCAGACGTCTGCAGGTAATCCACGAAGGGTGGCGAGCGTGCTCGAAGAACGCGCAGCGCATCAGATCGCATCAGCCCGCCACGCGGCCCAGTACGCGGCAGGAGCGCTGCGAGTGGCAGAAGTCGAGCCACGGCTTCCGATGCCAGTCAATGCCAGTCGCCATGCTTCTGGCGCCTTCAACATCCGCGGCGACGTCGCCGAGGCAGAGTTGCAAAGTCTCTCATAGCATCGTCATTCGCTTGGGCATACGTGCCACGGCATATGCGGGGGGCTTCGCGGCGGCTGCCCCGGGTTGCTTGGATTCATGGTCTGGAACAGTCAGCAGCAATTTTAACGGGTTCTCTGTGGAGACTCGCGACGGCAGCAGGATTGACTACAGTCGCGTGACAACAAATGCGATGCATAATTCATGGTGGCAACGCTCAATCATGTCGATGCATCGGTTCAAGGCAGCAGTGCCAGCGCACAGTACGCTTGGCACGGTACATTGGTGCATGCCGTCCCCTTGACAAGAGCGACCTGGCAGCATCCATGCGGTTTCTAGGTCCTCGCTCTCAGAACATCAATCAGGAGCTGCAATGCCTGGGATTACTGTATCGGTTCGCATGTGAAGCTCAGGACATCACGGGTCAGAAGTGCAGCGGGCCCACGTTTGCAGGCTGGAGCACACGCGGGGCTAACAGCTTGGTCGGCTTGATGGCAATCCCGGTAGGTCTGAGCATGCTTGCTTGTTGCTTGTAGTGCTGGCCAGCCTTCCTCCACCTCACCGCTCGTTCCTGGGTTTAACAAAGCTACGGCAGGCAGGTGTGACCCAGTAAAGCCAGCTTATTGTAAATCTGTTTGTTCCACGCGCAGATGGGTGCCACACCTCTGATTTCGCAATAATGCATGGCAGGCGCGAGCGTCGACTTGCAAAAGGCGGCTCGCTCGCAAACGTGAGATGGTGAAGGCCCGCGAAGCTGTGGTGCACATGTCATTGCTTGAGAGGGCCGGGTGGCAAGACATAGCATGGGAAGCCATGACATGCTTCTTGAGTCATTGCAGACATTGGTTGCGAAGTGCATGTGTCAGGCTTTGTATGTTTATTTGGTGCGCCATGCGGAATCCAAAAACAACAGCGCGGACCCCAGGAGTGAGTAAGCTGGGTGGGCTGTGTGTGGAGACAGTCAGCCAGGCTACAATGCAAATCATGTGCATTGGTGTGACACGATGCCGCCAACCAGGCCGTGAGCTGCACGACCTCCGATCGTCGGTCAACTTGCCAACAACGCCATCCGCCAGCACCACCGCGCGGGCGTTTGGCAGAGGAGGCAGCGCAGCTGCGTGCCATCGTTGTTCAATCGGGGCTGGTCGGCACAAGCAACTCACCTTTATCCAGCCTTGGCCAGGGAGGTGCTCGCTTCGGGAGACGTGATTTGTGTTTGGTTCGGTATCGGCTGTTTGCACGATGGCCGTTGAGCTAGAATGCTAGAAGTGCTCTGTGCCTTGTGTAACCGGTGAAGGTGAGAGCGTTGCTGCCGATGTTTTCGCCAAGATCGACGAGGAGGACGACAAGACAGGGCAACAGATGGCCTGATTCTTTGTGCCTTCGCTGCTGTGGTTTCATGTGATACAATAAACACACGAGTTGTCACGGCTTGCTTTTTCGGTCCACGTCCACAAGGGTAGCAAAGTAAGAGTCATGCATGGATTATCTGTGTCATGGCTCGTTTGCTTACGAGAACCTGAGAAAGTGGAAATTGACTGATCGGCTCATGCCCAACAGCTTCACTATAGTGCTTGCATATGCTTGCATGTCAGCAATATTCCGCGTTGCCGTTCCCACGAAAGCAGCCGTCACAGTTGGTGCCATGGTTGGGCTACAGATTTTCGCCAGGCCACGTGTGCCACAAACAGTGGCAAAGGAAGGACAAACTGAGACCGCTCCTAGGGGGCAACCTTCACAAACCGAGGTAGTGGTGCGGGTCTCCAGCGGGAGATGGGCCGGCGATCACAAGGCGGTCGTTCTTCAAAAAGGCCGCACCCAATCGACCCGGAAGAAGTTGACTGCCATTGAGGAGCTTCAGCAGTTGCAAGGAATGTGGGAATTGAAAGAGCTGGTTTCCAAAGGGTCCAAGGAGAGACTTCCTGCCGACAAGGCCGAGGCAAAGATTTATGTTAGAGGCAAACGAGTAGAAGAAAGCACGGCTGATGGACACCGTAGATTTTTCAATTTGGTGCTGGCAGAGAAAGCTCGTGACCCGGCATGTATGGAGCGGGCGTCTAAAGAGGGTTGCGCGAGAGGGACGAAACGACCGCGGCGAGAAGACTTGGACAGAGACCGCAGAGACAAGCGGCATGCCTTGCCCCCACTGCAGGGCCCATGTACATTGGAGAACGTGAAGAACGTGGGCCAGAAAGCTGCCAAGGCCAAGGGCAAAGGCAAGCAAGCAGGAAAGACACACGCGCCGGGTCATTGGATGCTGCTCCACCACACCCCCAAATTGCTCATATTGAGAGACGGCGTTTCCGCGCAAGATCCGCTTTGGTGGCATCCAGACGAGCAAGCGGCATGGTCTCGTGGTGGACTCTCGGAAGAAAGCCTGACTATCAGGCGGGGCCCGGGGCGTGGCAAAAGATGTCGAAAGCTTAGGAGCGTCCTTCTCGTACAGCACTGCTTGCATCAGTATGCAGCAGATGCAAAGGATTTGGGTGAAGTGGTTTGATTCAGATCTTTGTATGTGACACAGATAGTGTTGAAATTTCCCCAGGTACACCATCGACGAGCACACAGAAAAGCTTTTGCGACATTCGCATGACCCCCCGAACACTTGGCGAACCAGCAAGGGCGTTGCAGTAATGGTCTTGGCCGCCAAGTCCAAAAGCAAGCACGGATGAATGCACACCCAGGCCCTTGTGGGTCGGTCCGGAGATGTCGAGGAGTGCTCCCCGGCGGCTGCCGGCGTCGACCGACGACGACTACAATGCCAAGAAGACGTGGCACTAATGTGGCCTTCCACTCACGAGCGAATGCATCAAGTGTCAGTTGCTGCAGGTGATGTGATGTTCAGGCTGTGGGACTCTGGATGCCTTCGATCTTTATCTTGAGCGCCGTCCCGATTCGAGGGCCAGAACATGGACCGTGTTGCGCAATCTTATTCTGCCGGACGGTCGGCTTTGACCGCTTCAGAGATGCAACAAATGATGGCACGTGGCAAATCCTGCCGGGTCAGAGAAGTCAAGGGTAAATTGAGTTCACCTCGTGGTCGCTGAGCACCGCCCCCTGCTTCCACGTGCGAGGGTCCCGGAAACAAGCAGCGTTATCAAAGACCGATCTTTCTCAGGCCGAGCAGTCGGTGTCTTTGCTGAGCTCCCCTCGGCCAAGCCTCGCACCTAGTTTTGCTTGGCAAAGGTTTCAGATATCCAGGACGATGTGGGTCATTCGGCTGGTCGCTATTTGCCGCATTTTAACCGTGCGCTCGCGAAAGCTCAATTTCATGACTCTGGGGAGAGTGGGCGAAGTCGATGGAATGGATTGATTGGCCAAGTTCGCAAAACCTGCGAATGAACTTCGAAAACTTCCTTCACTTGGCCTCTGCAATCATAAGATCCACTGTACCGCCGTTCTCAAACTTGAACCGTTGGCAACTGCATGCAACCAGCCATATCGGGCCATAGGCGCTAGAGGCTAAACAGCAAGATTGCCGCTCGAGTAGGTGCCTGGATGCCTACACAGCTTGCGAGCATCGCTTGCCGAGGTCGAGAGCCTGATCCTGGTTTGACAGGCCGGCCCCTGACTTTGGTGCCCGATGTCGTTCTACACAATTCGTGTCAGGGCTTCGTCAGATTTGGATCGCGTGCTCCGAAGTTCAGAGACATGTCGGCTGTATGTGCATGTGCTGGAGATTGCTGGAGTGCATCTTATTGCTTCAGGTCTCGAGGCCGGCACTTGCAGCAATGGAACTCGTATGAACTCGTCAAACGGCATGAACGTTGTGAAGTGTGTGTTGAATGGAATGAGCAGTGCTGACCCAGATCGCGGCAAATCGCAAGCAGAGGCGGTGGACGAGCCCTCAGTATTCTCGTCAAGTGCAGAAACCTGAGGGTCCTCACGCTGCATTGAAGTATGCTGATTGTCATAAACGGAACCGCGAATCTCTTCGAATACATGTCCGAAGCTGTCGCGAGATGTCGCGAGCGCGAGAACTTGTGTCATTGGTCAGGCAGGGGTAGGACAAGAATGCAATCCTCCAAGCGACTATACCACACATCGGTAGGCACCCAAACATGCACGGATCGATGCAGGCCCGACTTTGTTGTAGACAACGGGACGTTCCAACAGGGATAAAAGACAGCTGCTGTACAGAAGACTTCATGCGCCACGCACAAGGCCCGGCTACTCAGAACAATCCGGGACGACCCAAAGACGGAGCCAAGGCGTCGGCTACCGGAGTTCTGCGGTGGCTGTAACTTACATCCCGTGCTCCGTAGAGGTTTCAACATGGGATTGTTGCATGTGATCATGAAGTACTCGTGGAGAAATTGCCGGATGAATGGGAACTGATACCTTTGGCAAGGAGACAGATGGGTTTTCAAGTCTGGGCCGCACATTGCTACACAAGAAGGCACCTATTGAAGGACCTGCGAAGGAAGCGAACACATTCTCGGGCAAAGGGGAAAGAGAAGGACGATAACATGATCATGCTTGCGGTGTAGTCTTCTTTGGCGTTGATGACCACTGTATTACATTTCGGATTTTAGCATGCTGAGTCGACAATCTTCAATTCAATTCACGCGAGGAAGTACAGTACCAAATTAAATACAGTAGGATCTAACACGTCTACAGCAGATTTGACAGTTTCAGAACTCGAGTAGATGCACTGGCCAAACCGCAATTGCACTTCGAGCTCGAAGTCAATGTTCGGGAAGTGTGACAAAGCATGGGGATGTAGGGCGCAAAAGCAAACTGCTACTGTAGCCCGTTGAAATCCGCCCGGAATTTCTGGCTGCCTGTTTCCCGCTGAGGGCTTGATTCAGCCGCAACAAATCTTCGAACCATCCGAGTCTGATGTTCTACCTTTCACGCATCCGTGCATGCTAGCTTTCCTGGCTCAAGAGACAGCCCCAAGACCCCGCCTGCTGGCGGTGGTCGCATGGCTGCACGGAACACGGCTTTAAACCTGAAGGGTTCTGTTTGCTGGCGTTGTGCCAATCACAGCAAGGACAGCAAAGCAACACGTGAAACGCAGACTGTGTAAGCATCAGCGGTTGGCCACGTTCTGTTCATTGCCGGGGCTCGCGGCCTGCGATTCTGGCCACAGTTTTTCTTTCATGTTTGTTAGACCACATTCATGTCTGATGTCCACCCAGCACCCGGTCCTCATGACTCAAAGCTTCAGCCATGCGACCATAACTACCACGACCGTGTAGAGTCGGGGCATGTGCATGTGAATCACGCGGTGTCAGCCTGCCATAGCTTGCAACAGGGCGTGGGCTCAAGCTTCGATCTAAAGGTCCTTACATGGCGCAACCATTTTGAACATGGCAGCCAAGGCCGCACGCGCATCCATGGCGGAATGCGCCAACGGCAAGGAGACAAGTGCTGAGGAAGCATTGGTTGCGTCGCCTGGCTTCTGTGAGGAGAATGCAGCTGTAGAGTTTAGTTACGCCGCATTCGTTCAGACCTGTTGACAGCAGCCCCCCTATTGGCCGCACATGCGCTTCCCCTACGGGCCTCCTCAAAGCGTTGCATTCCGCTTCAGCCGAGAACCCTGCATCTCGCCCCACTGTCCCTGTCCTACAACAGGCTGAAGGGCAAAGACGTGGCAGAGCTTCGGGCCATGGCGCAGCGCCTGGAGACGCTTGATTCCGCTTGATCCCGGTGGGACAGACTTGATCAAGTCTAGGCATGTACAAGCGAAGTGATGTGCGTGGTGAGCTTTTGTCGTCTGAAATTTGATCGAAAGTGTGGTGACTCAAGTTCTTGGTTCTGCTGCTGCCAAGGAAAGGCCAGGAGTCGCTGCAGGTCGCACCAGCACTTGGTTAGGAGGTTGATGGAGGTTGTCTCAGGCTTGTCGGTTCGAGGTCATGCATCGCAATTCCGCGTACAGCCTTAAGCGTTTCTTGATTTCCGCTCTGAATGTCTGTGTGGTTTCCCGTTTGGTGGGTTTGAGATGCTTCAAGAATCGGGCTGGGGCCACGAGCGGACGGAGGCCTCTTCACGGGCTCCAGTGGGACCTCGGCACACAACATAAAAAGACAGAAAAGAGCCGATAAAAAATATTCAAGTCGAACGCTCCAGCCAGGAGATGTTGAAGGACTTGGAGGCTGAGCGGGAGGAGCTGCATAAAGAGAAGGCCGGAAGCCGGTGTTGAGTATGGCACGGGCTTCGACATCCCAATTTCCAGTCGTTTGCCTGCCAGTGGAATTGAGACTGCAACGCATTAGTCCATGAAAGTAGTTTACAGCAGGACCGGCAGGCACCAGGAGCCGCAAGCAATCATGAGCTGCCCTGTCATGCTCAGCGCATCTCCGATGACTCCGTTGCTGACAGCATCTGTTCCAGGCACAGCTCAACGACACCATCTCACTCATTATGAAGGACATGTTTCTCATGGCCCTCGGATAGCCGTCAGCTGGGACCTATACGCCTCAGATTCTTCCACACTAGCTTCGCGATTGAGGATGTTGACAAGGCACCAAGCGCAGCAAGAAGGTCTCTAGCCCTGTCCCATGCACCGTTGAGACCTTGTGCTGAAACGGAATCGATCCCGCGCAGGATCTCCAGAAGCTGCACATCGGTGCGCAGAACACCGTAGAACCTGCGCCTTGCCATCTGGAAAGACGGGGCTTCGAGACTCCAGGCAGTGGCCGATCAGGCACAGCTTCTTGTGAGGCTGCTGGCTACAACTCACCAGCATCAAATTTGAAATGCTCTGCTGACTTTGTGAAGGCTTGAACACGCGTGCCCTGCAGGAAGCTTCAAGCAGCTCCTACCAGTACTGTAGGGGTCCAACTCAAAATCTCAGGAAAGTCCATTGTCCGCAATCTTTCGTTGTCTTCTGCATCTACTGCTCTTGCGCAAAGCTCCGCAACTGCGGTAGTCGTTGACCGGTCTCTGCCCTCCCCCGAAAATACCGTGAACCCGAATCCAGAGCAAGTGCCAACGATAGATTTGCACTTCAGCCCTTGCAGTCTCGCTCGCTGTCATACCGCACGCAGTTTGCACGATGCAGCATGTTTCGAGGTGTTATAGATAGACTGTTGCAAACAAATGCCGGCATACTTTTTCGGATTTCCTACTGCAGTTGGATAGTAAACTTGCCACAGCAAGTCTCCGGCATGTCAGATCTCCAGCAGTTCCAAAAAAGGTTCTGGAGGAGGGTCCTCTGGACTTCGTTGGCCGTTTCTGGGCCGCTCGACTGCGCCAGGTCGGTTTGCACAGGTTTCTTTGCAAATCGCTTGCGGCAGTTTAGTTCATGCGAAGTGTTCCTGGCATGCATACCGCGGGGGTCCTTATCCAGACAGAGCATACCACTCAGGAGACGGTGAAGCCGAGGGACAGCGCTTACATGGCTGGCGAGCCGCTTCATCGCATGTGACTGTACTCGCAGCTTTCATCGCGGTTGCTCAGTTTCTTTCAGTCTGATGTCCAAAGGTTTCAGGGCAGGGTGAAGTTGGGTGCGCTTGCAGAGGAGGGATCCGGTGCTTCGTTCTAGCTTCGGAGAGGGGGTTATCATTTCTCATGCAGCCGAGATGGTTATCCCTCAGCTGCCTCAACTTGTGCTTGAAGCGAAGAGACGCCCGAAGCATCCGATCTGTGAGTCCCCGAGCCGTTACCTTATCGCAGCCCAGGAACATCGGCGAGATCAGGAAACCTGGGGAGAAGGTGGGAAGGTGTTCTTCAACCTAAATATCTACGCAGCTGCCGCTTCATCGAACTGCATCAAAACACCTTCAGCCCGCTTGACACAGTGCCGTGAAGAATCATCTTCATCAGCACCACCTGCAGTGTCAACCCGCCAAAATTCAAACCCAACCCAACCCTTCCTTCCTTGCCGGTGGATACCCTGTCTTTCGCAACCCAGGCGTTGAACGTTCCACCGGGGATAGACCTGTTGTTCTGGTCTGTACTTGGGGCCCCCTTCGTCAGGTCTGTAGCGTTTGTGCAGTTGGGTTGAATCGCATACTGTTGCAGAGTCGAGTGATATTTGGGAGCCCGCTTGTTGGCACAGTTTGGCAAGGGTGCAAGCAAGCGAACCAGCTTTGCAAGCGAGGTGCGTTTTTATTTGTGCAAGAGGGCGAGGGCTCCCAACTGATGCGAAGTCCGGAGGAGCCTTTAACATCTGCTGATCTGAGAAGCATTGTCACACATGATAAAAAAACCATTTTGGTGAGTCTGGCCTCGGAGGCTGACAAGCCCAATGCGCCGCTCGCCGCGTTGCAGCACATGCAGCAGGAGGGTCTTGGCAGCTTCAGATTCAGTTCCCTCGACATTGAGATGCGAGATTCCGCCGGGCGTCTTCAACTCAGAAAAACTAGATACCGATGCCTCTGAACCGGGATTGGGCTGCAGCCATGGGAGTTTGAACCGTCAGCCTCCAACAGCAGGAGCTGCCCCAATCCGTGCAGGAGGCAGCCAAAGAGGTCACGCAGCATTCTGGGGCTGGGATTCTTCAGAGTCGTTGGATGCTTCGGTTTTTGGGTAAACGGCGCTGGCTTCGTCAGGTTATTCATTTGCTCATCTGAAGGCTTACAGTGGCGCTTACGGGTTTGCAGCTGTGCCGACTGTCGATGTGCACATCTTTCCGTTCTGTTGGCTTCTCATATTCCAAAGCTTCAGTTGAGCCACGCATTCGAGCCTTCTGGTAGTTTGGAGTTTGAGGTGAAGCAGGTTGGATCATGTTGGATCCACTGGAGCTCATGGCTTCGCAGGTCCTACCCGCCTAGCAGTCCTGCAGGTACATGACGAATGGGTGTTGGTTAGCCAAGAATGACAGTATTCTGCGGGCCATCGCCGCTGGATCAAGTGCACCATCCCCGTTGCTGTCGATCTGCACGATGTAATTCTTGATTGAATCGAGATTCCGCCATCCCTCAACCTTGAAGCGACATCTGACAGAACATGATCTCAGTCTGAGCAAGAACTCTTCGGGCAGAGCTTGCAGCCGAGCCGATCAGGTTCAGGACATGGGCAAGCAGGCCGCCCGCAAGCTGTCCACTGCTTTCGAGGAGGGGATGGGTTACTTTTTTCTCGGATCTACACAGACAACTTATGACAAGTTGCTGCCATAGTCAGGGCCCTTCTGGTACAGTAGCCATATCCACTTTGGGACTAGCACCGGGTTTGGTCCAAGCCACCGGTTCAGACAGTGCGTCTGCTGGCGGGTGCAGGAAGCTCGCTCGAGCCCGTGGTGGCAGAAAGCGCAGGGCTACCT